AGCATAGTCGGTAGAGCGCTTGACTGCAAAGCTAGAGGGAGGTCGCGGGTTCGATTTCCGGGACCGGACCAATACTCAGGTAATGCCTTTGACCTGCAAACGGGTAGACCTTTGCGTGGCTCGGATGACCACGTAAAAGGGCAGTCCCGTCTCCAGTAGTAGACGTAAAAAATAGTGCTCCCAATTATTTGATTTTGCCCTCTATCGAATTCAAGTTTACGTTTACAAATAGTTAAATTCGTAACAGATGGGTCCTTGCAAGCCAGCAAAAAGCTTTAGGGCCTTGTAAATGCGCGCGATTTGGAGCAATGCAAACATATAGAAATCATAGTTTTAGCTATTTGTTGACGTTTGTCAACGTTTTTCATATCTCGGTGAGCATTCGGAAGTCAGCCAAGCGCGGTCATTGCACGCGTGCTGAACAAGAACGCTGTATCATGACAGACTAGGAACAATAGAAAACTCCCAAAGCACAAACTCAACCAAAACGCTAAAAATCTTCAATTTTTACTCAAGTTTGGGCTTATCGGAAGATAATGTCACAGTTTTTCAATGACCATGAAATTCGGAATCCGGGTAGTTAGTTAATCAATTGTGGCCCTGAAAAAATTTGAAGGAAAAAAAATAGGAATTTTTAAGAAAATGCGTTTTTCGTGAGAAGGACTCTTAAACACTGACAAACGTCAACAAATAGCTAAAACTATAATTTCTATATGTTTGCATTGCTCCAAATCGCGAGCATTTACAAGGCCCTAAAGCGTTTTGCTGACTTCTAAGGACCCATCTGTTATAAAGATCCCCAAAATAAAAAGATAAATCTCATAGTTGATTAGATATAATCGCGTAAAATTTGCTTATCATGTTCCCATAAATTTTGACCTAAATTTGGAAACCGCTGAATTTCTCGCATTGGGTCTTTGCGATTTTGCTGAAACTATGTTCAACGCAAGGCACGAACGCGCACTATATGTAGTCTAGAGATTTTAACGAAAAAATGCCGGCAACAGCAGAATTTCTACTCAGACCCCAAAGAGGCGTGACACTATAACCACGTGACATTTACTCCGATCGCCAAAAATTTTATGCTGTATTGTAGATTGATCTATATGTTATCCATGCTATATGTTAGACTTATGATCAAAGTAACGGTGAGGATACCACAGAACTTCAAAGTAGGATGGTACCCTCACAAAATAACTGGGTCGAGTCACGGCTTAAGTTGATTCTTTGTTTCCTAGCCCCAATTATTCATGAATTAGGACTATAGTAGACAAAGGAAATTGAGAATCAACCAGGGCTAAAATTGTAAACCTGAATTTAATTTTGATCTGTGGCATACATATCATGTACAGTGTATATAATTCTCATGTTCTTTTCTATCCTTTTGTTTACTTGTCATTGAGTAGAGAGGATATGTAATCGACGACAAAGGAGGAAAAGGAGAGAGAATACACTGAATTCTGCAAAGCTGATCGTACTACATAAAAATTAACTTTTGCACGACATAAACATAAACATGACACCGATAGACCCCATGGCCAATCAGAGCGGGCTTATGGCCGACGACACGGCTGTTTCGCCATTAAAACAGAGTAGATCATCTGAAAAAAAAAATACCCGCACGCTCTGTTTAGAAGCCCTAACATTGGACCGTGGGCCATGTCCCTGTCGCCGTTTCAATCTATCTTTCTTTGTGTCGTTCGTCGTCATTTCATTTGTACTGTTTGTACATTTTTACATGTCACAGTTTCAAGGCTAAGTTGCCTGTCGGAATTTTACCTAAACAGGGCTAGTTAAGGGACAAAACTGATGAAAGTGCATATAAATCGGCCGCAATACCCCTGCTGCTGCTGCTGAACTTGGGGTGACCTTGTTTCAGTTACATACCTTTCTATTTTTCGTATGTAAATGATCATAATCATGGGTTTGTTCACAAAATTAAAAGTGAGAATAATACGATTGTCACGTTTTGCACTAGAAAAGCAGGAAGGTTTGTAACATTAAATAACAAGGTCAACACTAGCCTCGTTTCTAAAGTCCAGGGCACTGAGCGAACAATTGTATAATGGCCTGCCATCTACTGCCGCTCTTAATCCCCCCCCTCCCCACTTATAATTCTTCCCAGATATAGGCCCATCTATCTGCAAAAAAAATATAAAATAACTTAACATTATACCTTTATCCCGCGAAGGGGAGGTGAATTGTGGTTACGTCGAGGTATATACCTAGCGCTATGAACCGACCCGGAGGGGGATAGTTGTTTTAGTATTTACCAAATCAGATGGATAAAAATCAAGAAGGAACTTTTGTAAATAAAAGACGTCACTTAGTTGAAGTTTGTTTTACGTTGCAATTGACAGTGTTTCGGGGATAATTTTTTATCATTTTGATGCATATTCAGCAAGAAAAGTAATTGCGACGAGAATCAAGTCGAGTCCTTCCACATATTATTCACCATAACCAAAGTCATTTGGAAGATCGTTATATTGGTGAAACGGTGAGATCGATATTCGACATTATGGATTTTACTGTTAAGGAAAATATGCCAGGACTTTTGATTTTTGTTGATTTTCGGAAAGCTTTCGACAGCCTTGAATGGGATTTTCTTGTCAGCTGCTTAGAGGCTTTCAACTTTGGTCGAGATTTCATTCATTGGGTTAAAGTGTTTTATAACAATATCCAGAGCTGTGTAATCAACAATGGTCTTTCGTCTGATAATTTCCGTCTTGAGCGAGGTGTAAGACAGGGTGACCCGCTCTCTCCCTATATGTTTGTTCTCGTTGCAGAGGTATTGGCAGTTTCAATAAGACAAAACTCAAATGTAAAAGGAATTTCCATTGGCAAAGAAGAAACTAAATTACTACAATTTGCAGACGATAACACAGCTGTATTAGCTGATGAGAACTCCCTCTCTGCATTCCTTAGTCTGTTGGAGTCATTTAAAGATATTTCTGGTCTAACAATCGACTGTACTAAGACAGAAGCAATGTGGATTGGATCTTCGAGAAATAAAAAATAAAAACCCTTTTGGCTTAAGTGGCCCAGTGAACCCATCAAAGCCGTAGGTGTGTTTTATACTTACGATCAACGGTTGCTTCTTGAGAAAAACTTCATTGAGAGACTAGACAGTATCAAAAAACTGATCAGGATTTGGTCCTCTAGAGGACTCTCTATTTACGGAAAAGTTACTCTAATAAAATCCGTATTGATACCTAAGTTTGTCTACATATCTTCTTTGTTGCTTATCCCTAAAGAATTCGTGAAAGAGTTGAGGACCTGGTAAAGTTACTCGAGTCTTGGTAATTAATGAGTACGATAAAGGTGGACTGAAAATGACTGATGTCGACAGCATAGTAATGTCACTCAGGCTCGCGTGGTTAAAACGCCTATTTGGTGGTAATGATGAATTTTGGAAAAGGTACCTTTTACATCTTCTAGAACCCTATGGAGGATTTTTCTTCTTTAAATGCAATGTTGATATCAGAGATTACCCAAACCTTCCTCAATTTTATTCCGAGCTTTTGCAATGGTGGTTTGAATTCCGAGAAATGTCTGCATTGGGATTGGGATTGGGATTGGGATTGGGTTCACGTAATTTGGAACTATAGACAAAAAGCCTATTTTTAACAAAAACTACTATGATTCGGGAATAATCTATATCTGTGATCTGCAATTGCATAAGAGTGTCAAGGATTTACACTAAAATTCAGTATCAGTTGGGAATTAGAGGAAACAACATTCTTTATTTCACTACATTACAAAAACTAAAACAAAATAGAACTAAGCTAAAGACCAACACTCATGATATCAATCTTGTTCTTTCCTTCAAATTGGATTCAAAATTAACAACATCCGTTAAAACACATCATTAAACTAGGTATACCTATCGATAGAGTGCCAACGAGCAAATCATGCGTATTTTGCTTAGGAATAAAATTCCTTTTTTTCCCATTTGACCGTTTCTTGGTCCCTTCCTGTTGCAAGGATTATTTTCTTGAAAAGTTCTCAGATTAAGTCTGGTGGCTTTACAAACCTGCTATGTAAAAGTGTGAAGTGCCTTGAAAGAATAAAGTCAGCTTTGCAGAGGAAGCGATCGGGAATATTATTAAGTCCAGCTACAAATCTACTGTCGGTTCGGTTTCACATTGTTGATAAATATTTGCACAGTTTCATCATTTAAACCTCCTTTCAAATTTCCCGAGGCTTTTTGTTATCGGATTGAAACTTAGAATGATTCGCTGGGCCATCTGAAATGCTTGCAAGGACATGCGATGTACGGTACGTCGGTATTTAATTTTAGTTCATTATTTTTATACTGAACTCGGCCAGGTTTCGAAAAAAATGGCGTTGTTTTCTTTTCCTTCGTCGTTCGCTTTAGGCTTGTAATTCGTTTTTGTTCTCACTGTTTTTGTTTGCTGGTTAGATTTTTTCCCCAACACCAGATTTTCCAACAGAAGCGACTGCATTCTTCGTGTCAAGCTTTCCTTATCTCCTCGTGTAATCTGATCCTTTTTAGTGGTGAAAATATTGCTTGCTGCACATAGAACACTTTTGCTGTTTTACAAACTTCTCTTCGTTAAAACTTAACATTATGGCCCCTAAAATTAATAGAATATATCAAGTGCTCATGTCTCTTGACTTCAGTGGCCGGGTTTAACGAAAAAGTTTAGATAAATAAACACAGGAAGTCGCGACGCCGGGAAGTGTGTGAAATTTTGTTTGTTATTCATCTTGAGCCCGTGTGCCAGGTACTGCCTTTTGATTGGTTCACAACTGACCACTTGGTCTCAGGGGAATCTACATTACATTAGGTTACACTTTTTTCAGCTCGATCGAGAATTTTTCTGCCTATTGCCCAGTCTTACGCGGTTCTATTCTGCTGCCGCCTCGCCATCCGAGCGTCTTCGCTCGGATGGCTCGATGGCAAAAAATCACTGTCTATTTAGAATTGTTGTTTCTTTCACTACTATAGGCTATAGTTCAGTTCTTTATCTTGAAACTTATGGAGCAAAAGCTGCGATAGCGCATGCCAACAGCATGATGGCGCTGACCATTGGTACTTTGACTCCATTGCACAGGTCTCCTTCACAGTAGTCGATTTCGCATTTGGTGATTTTCACTGAAGGATAGATCGATTTGCAGTCCCTCGCGCTGCATTCAGATGAAGCGGCGCATGCTTTGGTAAAGACTTCAACTGCTGCGACTGAGTTCTCAGCTTTGATATCAGCTTTGCCACAACGGTCCTGACTGTCTAAACAGGTTAACTGTATTGTGTTGTTTTTGCAGTCATCCCAGCTCTTAAGAGAGAGACATGTGTTGCATTTCAGGGCATAACCTGGAAAAAGGAAACAAATACAAAAATAGAATTAATAGCCTGAATCTCGAAGGTCGACACCCCCAACTATCCCATAGTAACAATTCAATATTTTTGATTTTAACCATTTGGTAGTAAATGGATATATTTACCCTTCACCTCCTTTCTTTAGACAAGCTTTTCTCGGAGAAAAACGCGCGAAATGTTAGACAAACTTATAGAGGACGGACACAATCCAGGCTTCTAGCCTCAGATTGGTCTAAAAATAAGGGGGGGGCACAGGTCCCCTGGCCTCTCCCCTGGATCCGCCACTGCGTATTTCAGGCGGTCTGTCGCCCTCTCTCCTTGCCTGCATCAGCCATTTCCTATTCTCTTTTATCCTTCTGTAACAGGCTGACATGCTATCACATAATACCGATAATCAAATAAACCGCTTTTTACATTACATCAGAGGACGGCACTCAGGTGATTCAAAGCACTAAAATACATGCATACATACATACATACATACATACACACATACATACATAATCTTTATTTAAACACGATAGTTTTTAAAGCTATTAAAGCTTGTGGGGTTGTAACCGGAACTGATCGCATGCATTCTTGGAATACGCATCCTTTTTCCGGTTTCCGAATACTTTTAAAGGGACAGGTTGAATGCTCATTAATTAAATTACTTTTTTCCAATTTATTATTAATTTTGTCGTTTAATAATCCCACTCACATGTATCTCAGCGATCTCAGAATGTATTTCAAAGTAGAAGTGTATTTCGGGCTAACCTGAAGTGGGATGGAGGAGTACTAAATCGCAGAAAAATTAGTGGATTATGCCAACGTTAAATTTATCGTTGACCCGAGGGTTTTATTCCCTGGTTGATTAATTTACAGCTATTTGCACCTAAGGTGATCAAGTGACTGCTAGGGGAGTGTGCAGATTGTTTCTTTGACAACATTATGACATGATCATTTTGCTTTCATAGACGATACAGCATGCCCCGGCCGAAAAATAGCATTGTGATTATCGAGCATGCGCTGAACCGTGAACCTGTCCTTTTAAAGAGACACCAAATCCGTGCAATATTGTACGAAATTATCAAGAATTTTCTTCACTTCGTTATAGGAAATAAGTAAAAATTTACTTAATTACTTCAGTACTTGCTTACCTTTTTTGATATATAAATGCCGGAAATGAATAGTAGAATACAACACTCACCGATTGTATGAAGAGAAAAGCTGGTTTTACAGTGCATGATATACACCAAGACATCCCCCGGCAAACAACTGTATTTTCTCCGTTTGTAAATTTCATATTAGTTTACAGTTCAAACAACGAAAAGATTTTTCAGGCTTAAGCGTGGAGTTGAAATATTTATACTAATACATGAGAAATTTCTGCGGCAACTTGGTTGGTTAGAGCAGTGGTATTTCAGCTTAATTTGAAATACCTACATGTGAAAATTACAAACATTTTACGGGTAGAAGTATAAACAAATAATAGCCAGATTTATACGTGATATTTGGCGTAAATACCACTCGTGATATTTCAAAATTGTCTCAAATTTCACTCGTGAAATTACGTATAACAATTTCGAAATATCCCTCGTGGTATTTATGCCAAATCATGCTATTACGTATACAAATCTGACATTTGTTATTGATGTTATATTCTTTGGTTTAAGAGGCCTGAGACTCGCGTAAACTGTTAAGCGAAAGCTCATAGTATCGACATCAACAACAACGAGGAACTAGTTATGTCGCGTGCATTTACTGTTTCTCTTGCAAATTTGAGATCACGAAATGAATACAAAAAGTTTCGTCCAATTTGTCGCTGAGTAATGTTGAGCTCAATTAAATGCAGAGAAGATCATCGCAGTTAAATACACAACAAAGGCAGTTACGAAAAGAAAGCCTGAAAAATTCAGGCTTACTACCTTTCTTTTCGTAACTGCTTAAGGCCCGTTTCAAACGTCGTGCTACTGACGTGCCGAAGTCAATGGATCGAATTTAATTCGACTTTAGCGCGGCAGTAGCGCGACGTTTGAAACCAAGTCGTGCTACTGCCGAGAACCACGGCAAGCTTTACCGTCCTACACGGCAAAGGATCGAATTGGTTTCAAACGTCGTGCTACTGCCGTGCTGAACTCAATTCATAATTTATAAATACTTTAGAATACATTCAAAAGTTTGCTAAGGCGTTTCTTTATTTTTGTGTTTTGTTTTCAGCAACAGCCGTTCTATTCTCGGTTTTCACTGACGTGAGAAAGCAGAAATAAAAATGGAAATATTTTAATACGGTAAGTCTAGAATCTGGGAAATGAAAGAAGATAAATATTCGAAAAGCCATGCCAAGAATCAGGTCAATGCAATAGTTCGTGTGCGAGATATTCGGAAAAACGTTTTACCCAAATTTATAAAGCTTTGTATGGAGACGCCATGTTTGTGTCCATTCAGGGGCACAAATATGGCCGCCGGAAACCAACAGAAACATCTGTTTTTGAGTTTTCCTACTTATGCGCGAATTCTTCGCTTGAGGAGCTCATAAAGATTAAAGTAATATTTATTCTAAGACAAGGAATGTTTAAATAGCAAAATGTCCAAAAATCCTCGATGTTTTTAACCCACATTAGAGCTTTCCCGGCCGCCAGCTAAATGCCGCGTCACGCAAAAGCCTGCAAATTCAGGCGCCCTGTATCGCAAAACAAAGTACTCTTTTGAACTGCAAATTTGTTTGTATAAAGGTTTTAAGGTGCTCTAATATCACATGAAAGCAGAAACTAAGAAGAAGCGATAGTTTCTTAGTTTGAATTTGGTGACGTCATGTGAAAACCGAGAATTCGACTGAGTTAAATTCGACGTCTGAAACCAAGTCGTACCAAGTCGTGTTGCAGTCGAGCTACAGTCGAGCCAGCTTAGCACGGCAGTAGCTCGACGCTTGATGATCTTCTCTTCATTTATTTCTGCATTTCGCAGTTGTAATATATTAAATTTTCAATGTTGAGTGCATGTGCAACTTGAGATTGTTAGTGGTGTGACACGTACTTCCATCTTGCACAACCGCCCTAATCCTGCTTGCGCCCAATAAACGAGACCAATCATACCAAAACAGCTGTATTTTTGTTTGCTATACCTGTTTTGACGTTTCTTACCGGACGTTCGGACCTGCGTTTGGGGAATCGACTAAAGAATCTTACAGAACTGGAAAGCATTTTAATTCGATTCTTGCTTTTCGTAAAATTCATCGAACTGAAGTTCGACAAAGTTACGCTACCTAGCCAACATCGCCCCCTCTTTGTTAGGCATTACCGTGCTAAATAATTTCCAACACAGCAGTTAAAGATGTGTTTAATTATTCTACTCAAAAATGCGAAAACCTGGAGGCTATAATCGCGTTTATTTCTAGCCTAATATTACACTGGCTTATTAAACTCTTATTAAACGTTACTTTCCGAATGAAGTTAAAAATTGAGAGTGAAAATCATTGGTGTTTGTCCGGAACGTGCAGATAAGAAAGTGAGCAAAATGGCGAGCCACAACCCTTGATCCAAGAAAGAAGATAAAGAACGCCAGCAAAGGGAACGGCGCGAAATTACGTACAGAGCAAATTTCCTTTGCATTTTCATTTCCTAATCTAAACAAGAAGAAACAGATTGAACAAGACTAAAATTAATAACTTATCGACTGAAAGGCAAAGAAGAAAGGCGAGACCAAACACGATCTTCATGTTGCAAGGTCGGTACAATTCTCCGCTGCTGCTGAGGGGACACTTCAAGTGGACGCAAAATATCTCTGAACGCGTTAAATTGAAACAGACGATGTTATGCACTACCCTACTTCTAAGGAGGGTAAAAGCGCTTGTCAGTCTGTCAATTCTAGGTCTATAACGACCAATAGAAACTCAAGTCACTCTTAAATTTGATTGACCACAGGCAATCATAACCAGAATATACCCAGTCAAAGAAGATCGCAACTGGGCACTCAAAAGACCACCCGTGATGCAACACGGTTGTTTGCGTTTTCCTAGAAACCGCCCCATTATTTACTTAGTACGGCAAGTTGTGATTGGTCAACTATATTTACCAAATATATTTTCGCTTCGTGCTTTCCTCGTGTCCTTAGTCTTATTACATCAGTAAGTAACACAGAGGTTAAATCTCGTTTCTTAATCGAAGAGAACGAATCCTTCAAGATTCTTTCAGGATAGTCAGACTCAGTTGTATTAAAAGGCGTGGGTCAATTAAGATCCTTAAGAAATGGAAGCGGGGCGGCTTTTCTACCACGTTAGTCAAGATAATAGGGACTTTGAGATCCAACGACGCGGACAGCAACGAGAACGTAAAAAAAACAATAGGTTTAATAAGCAAAACAACAACTTCGCACGTGCATCACACTTTTTTGTACATTTCTTTCCCGTTTTTGTCTTATTTCTTTCCCGTTTTTGTCTTATTTCGCGTTTTATGGAGGACGTAAACAAGCAACGACAAAATTTTATTTTTCTTTCTCAGCTTGGATATTGTCATTTGAAATTCAGCTTCAGGAGGGTTCACCTACATTTGCAAAACAGAGCCTGAAGGCATTACAGTTGACAGGAAGAATCAAATTGACAAGATACTGTCACGAATGAGTCACGTGACCACAAATGATATCACTGAAATATCAGTAAATGCACATTTAGCGTCCTTATTCCCTATGAAACTTGATAAGTTACCTGTGAGTGACAAAAACACAGCCTGCCAAACAAATACGTCTCCCAGGTATTATACAAAGCGGTGAACTTTTAAAAGCTGTTAGGCTAACCAGTTATCAAAAACCACAAACGCAATCCGATTCAAACCTCTTCAAGTTTGTCTGTCTGTGTTTCCTTTTGTATTTGCTTTGTTTTATATACCTTTTACTAATGTTTTGAGCAGTTAGTTTTTTAAACTTAAAAGTTTCACTCAGTTTGATGGCCTTTTCGAAAGTTGGAAATTTTGTAAACGGTTTCGTGACACAGCGCCTTTAAGAACTGAAGCCAACAACTATGAAGCATCAAACTGTCAAACTGTTCGTCCGGTTGGCAATGCTGTCAGGCAAACTGCAAAAACAAAGGAGTATTTTATATACTCTTCCCTTCTCTTCAAATTTTTTTCTAAATGCTCAAATTAGTTGTTGACTTTTCTCTGATAAACCTGTTGTACGTGAATGCAGAAAAACGATGTTTTCAATGTTTGCGGGAATTGCTGCAAGAATTTTGGTTTTGGTAGAAGGCTTCCACACGTTCTAGACCAGCTCTGCTGTCAAGAGTACAAAGCTCGTTGAATTTTTAAATTTTTAAGTGTTGTTTTATGTTTCTCAGCATCCCCCGAGTCTTGCTTTTGAGCACTGGTTTGCGTAAAACGAAAAAGGAAACATACAGTTTGGAGAATAACAGTCGGCTTAAAATGTCCGAAACGACTTTAAAGCAGTGTTAGGCCATGTCTTATTTATCACCTGCCAGTAGACCTTTGAGAATTGTTTGTTTTTTAGTAACCAGTCTTCTAAATTCTTGGAAAACACAGGTACTCCAATTAGCATTTCTCGGAAATACCCGGTTAAGTCTAATAATAAAAAAATTATTCTACATCAGAGTTTCATCAGAACACAACTGACCCTGAAAGAAAATTTGAATATACAGAACCATAATCATTATTTAGTATAATTACATTGATGATTATTGAAAATTGAGCGCTACGATTCGCTAGGAGCTTCATTCATCCCACTAGGGAGTTAAAGATACGGAGACTAATACGGACTACGAACTACGGCTGGACGAGCCTTGTCCTTTGTTTGTAGCAGTGGGTTGAGTCGTGCAAATATAGAACGTTAAGATTGCACTACAGACAGTAGACTACGAGAGAAGAGGCGGAGAGGGAAACAACACGCAAAGATTTTCTTGTTTTCATCACAGTTCACAAAAATGCAAGTCAGTTTTGCATGTGATCTTATCTTTAGAACAATGAGCAAATTCTTCCATACTTGAAGGAAGCAATTACGTACAAGTTGATTCGCCTACAAATTGTTCCATCACCGTAGCTCGGGTGAAATTGGTCAAGAAAGTTTTGGTTGCACAGGGTTTTATTTTTTTCGCCCATGAATACTTATGTCAAATATTAAAGAAATAGACAGAAATAGTAATAGCTCATTTATTAGATTTAGATGATGGACTTCTCCGACTACTGAGCTGAGATGTAGTTTGAAGTATTGAAATGCCGAGTTTCGACTGTCTCGAAGATGTTTACATCATTTTCATTCAGCAAATGCGATACAAAAACCCGCATAAACAAAGGTTACACAAATAGAAAGACACTAATCAGTTCGAACAAACATTGAAACTTTTCAAGTGCGAAGAGAAAGTAAATTTCCTGCAAGATTTCTCTTCTTCTCGGCCATCAATCTGAATTCAAACAGCTAAGCTTCTTTAAATATGAGCTTAGCTAGATAAAAATGTAGTCACAACGGTGGATTAAAAGGGTAAATCTGGGCAGAAATTAGACGCAACTTACATATTTCGCTTCCCCCTCACTTAAAGCAGGTGAATTGAAAACTTTCTTACGAAAAGACGAGATTCTTGAATTACCGAGACGGCAAAATACGAGAAAAATGTTCTCCATAGTCCGGACTAGGCGAAACTGCTCAACAACTCACCGTAGCCGCAAGACTACGCGGGAAAAATGAACAGTCACGTGGTTTTGATCATGCACAGTAGCATGTTTAACCGTAGTCGTAGTCCGTAGTAGCCGTATCTTAAACTCCCTACAATAATCACCTCGCGGTGATTATAACAATGAAGGCTAGGAGTTTTCAAAATAGCAGCCAGATTTGTTGATGTTTCGGAGGCGGAAATTGATCAATTTATAGAAAATGCTGTTCCTCAAAAAACAAAGTTGCTACAAAATTTGGAGTCAAGCTATACAAAGGTAGTTTGATAAAATTCTCTTTTGCAAGTAACACAATTTACTGAAAACTGGTATGTTTGTTTACATTTTTTTTGCTTCAAAGTGTCGGGAACTGTTAGTAACTTTTGCGAAATATTTTGTTTCACAGAATGGTTTCAACAGCAGCAAGAATTCATAAATGAAATAGGAAACATGGAAGTCGATGAAATAAATAAATGTCTGGCAAAATTTTACGTTTCCGTGAGGAAAACCTACGGCAGCTATTATAAGAAAACCAGCTCCAGTGTTGTCGATCAGAGTCGCCCTCGACCGACATCTTAAAGCCCCCAAAATCTTTCCAAAATATGCCTCTTTTTATGTTATTTTCTCGAATAATCATCAATGTAATTATACTAAAACAATTAGTCACCTTGACTTCGTCTGGGTGACTATTCGCCGATATTCACGTCGCCTTGGACGACTAATTGTTAAATAAGTATGCACCCGCTCTTTTACGCCTCCTGTAAACTGTTTAAATTTAGTAATTTATTAGCCCTCCCATTTAGTAATTGTCTACAAACTACAAAAACTCAAAGGTTCGGTGTTGACTCAGAAACGCTAAAAACGAATCTGTGAAACCATCATGCTAACGAAGTATCCGTTGGGCCTCTTTGTTCTTGATCGCTGGTGTGAGGTTTAAAGGCTTCCGGTTAACCATAAGTAGTATCACATATAAGAAATAATATGAATTACAAAGGATTGCCGCTGTGGTTTTATGATCCCAAAGAATGTCTTTGTCTCTTTTCGTGTTCAAGTTCTTGTTTTCTACTCCGGCACAATGGCCCTCTTTATTTTTGACGGACTCCTTTTTTCCTGGAAGTGACAAGCTTTCCGAGAGTCTCATGCTGCTGCCTACTTTTCCTTAGAGGTGACCCTGAAAAAAGTGAAAGAAAATATGAATACAGTAATATCTCTGATAAAAAGTACCACTCTCTTTCAAGCCTCCCCCTCATCCCACCATTTTGAAAAGCAATGATTTATTTACCGTATTTTATGTTTTGTTCTTTAATATTACTTACAAGCACAATGAGGGTGATTTTAATTAGTTTCCAGGCCCCATCTAAGCCTAAACTAGAAATACGTGTATCGCAGAACCTCGTGAAGCTTAGGTTAAGGACTAGTAGTCCTAGTAGTCCTCTTGTAGTGCTAACTGTATTCGCTGTAGGTTTCTGATTACTCAATTTCTTGCCGTAACGCTTTGGGCAACGATACCCTTTCAAATAGGAGATAGTTCGTCGGCACTCTTCCACTAATTGTGCGTTAGGTTTCTCAAATGTGTTAGCGTAGTATTTTAAGGTTAAATGTGACCGGCATTTTGTGCAGCGAGTTGTATGGTCTTCAAACTTGCACATATAGTAAACTTTTTTATACCTACAAGAAAATAAACAACATTTTCATAAAATTTTTCACCATTTTTTTTTAAGGACGCCAAAAATCAGAGAAATCGGTTAAATCGTTCTTGCTGAAAAACGCGATTCAAAAACATAACTAAAACGAATATGAATAGATACGGGCCACCTTAAATAAGTCCTTTTATATTTTAACTGTTTTAATAGAAAGCGTTTTTTTATCAGTTAGTTCCGTTATATTTAATTCGTTTTAATTCGTTTAATATAAATAAATGTAATTTTACAATTAATTTAATACTTTCATGAAGAATATCATAAGTGTAAGATTTTAGACATTTATTGTAAGATGCCATTGGACATCACTGGAAAAGGCGCTATATAAAAAAGTATTATTATTATTATTATTATTATTAGAGATTCACTCCCGAAGTTAGTTAATTAATGAGCTTTATAAGCAACAACGACGGCGACGGCTACGACAAAGTCACTTAAAAAGTGAATTTGTGCTGCCTCAAACTTTATCGCGCTTATTCCATCTCGTTTAATTCTTCAAATGTTGGCAAAATATTTGGAGCTGAATTCTGAAGGCTGTATCACATTTCAGGAAAAGAAAACGAAAGCCGTTGTCTTGCGTTCACGTCCTCAACAAAACGTGAAAAATGCATTTTCACGTCGTAGTCGTGCAGTGACGGCAAAGAAATGTACAACAAAAAAAGCGTGATCCAAGTGCAAAGTTGTTGTTTTGCCAATCTAAACCTATTGCTTTTTTGCCGTCCTCGTTGCTTAAGCTCCCCATTTAATGTAGAAACCAGGAATGTGGATCTTACTTTTGAGTCCGTGACTAAAATTCTAAATCCTTAGTTGCTGTACATATTTTTGTAATGAAATTGTGTTGGTCTAGCTAAAGAATGTTGTATCGTTTTTACCTATTTAGCTAATTTTTGGTGGTGACTGACTACGCCCCTCACTGATACAGTCAACCTTAGCTATTGCGGACCCCCTTGTGGCCGCGAGTAAGTGTTCTCAATCACAGCCTGCGCAGTTGGTGGTTTTTTTGGTGTGTTTTTTCTCACGTGGTTCGCAAAGTAAGAGTTTACAGCCGCGCGAAAGCTGAACCGAGGTTGAAACAGAAAGCGATGGGGGAGGGGGCGGGGGAGGAAGGCAGTGAGAAAAACCGCTTGCAATCAACCCCTTGAGATTTTTGAAACTGCGTCCGCTTTTCTGGAAGCAGGGAGCAGCATTCCTGATTGGCCGACAGAATGTCAACCCGTCAGCGGATGTCAGATTCCCAGTGGATACAAACTTCAAAGGAGTACCGTCGGTTGAAATGCGGCTTACTTGATTTATGTTTGCTGAAAAAATATTCACCGTCAGTATTTGACACGTCAAGAAAAAGTTCTGCAGTTCTAAAACTCCAAAGAATAATTCTTAAAAGCAAGCGCGGTGCTGTTTCTGAACGAAAAATATTTCTGAAAAAGGAGAAAGCCTACCTTGCACATTTATTAGCGAAAACAACTCATTATGTTGTCATATCATGAGAGGTTTGTGTTTGCTCAACTTGATTCATCGCAAGAATTTTCAGACTCCAAGAAGTTCTTCGGTTCTAAAACTCCAAATAACTTAAAAAGAATAATTCTTAAACGCAAACGTACTGTTTCTGAACGAGAAATATTCTGGAAAAGGAGGAAAAAAATACCTTGCACATTTATTATAGCAAAAACTGACCTGACTAGTTGCTTTGAGTGTTAACTTTTGCTTTTGTCCTACGATGTGTCAGTAATCAACATTCGTTACTACAAGAGAGGCTTTTGTTAAAAAAAAGTCAATGTTTTTCTCTGACAGTGAAGAAATTCATCAATCCAATTCCGATAAACAAAATAATTTCCTAAATAATAATGAGCGGAAAACGCTAATGAAAAAATAAAAGCATTCAAATTAAAGGTCATAA